TTATTTTCTGGAGATAGATTACATGCAGTTAACTGTGAACAAAAGGTTGTTCAAGCAGCAATTATAATCTTCTTGAACTACAAGATCTTCTCTACAATATTTGAGTTCTGTTAAAAGATTATTATACAATTTTCAGATCTAACCAGGAGCAGCTGTGAAACTAAATGCTAGTTGCATTTTTTGCAGCTGCTCCTGGCTGAGCCATTGCTTCACCCTCCAGCAGACTCACCGCGGTAGCTAGGCCTACACACGCAAAAATCTCACAAATTGTCACTAAGATGTGTTCCCAACAGGCTTGTGAGTTGTGGCAAGCCTGCCAGCAAGTTGTAACAATGCTGTTATTTTATCAAGTTGCTACAAGGTTGTCATTCACAACCAGTGAACTCTATATATATATATATATATATCTGGAACGATAACAGCAAAGATTAGATACTATAAAGATGTGTCACTCGACGTATTTCCCTAATGTTTGCGTGTCCGTAATTTTCCGTGCTGATCACGAGCGATCACGCGAGATGACGAATGCATAACACTTACTGCCAAAATGGCGGCGAGACCATAGAGATTATAAATAACACTAGAGGAGGCATCGAGTTTAAAAATTGGGAACGCAGCTAATGGGGGGCAAATTCAAGTCCCGGATATAAAATCGTGCTCTCATTGGCTGATTTGAAACTCGTCACCAATGGGAACACGAATACACATCCGGGACTTGAATTTGCCCCCCAATAGTCGCGTTCCCTTTTTTTACTGAATTAAGATTACAATGCCTCCTCTAGTGTTATTTATAATCTCTATGGGCGAGACTGAATACAATAGGTTGCCATCGCGATGCTCGCGCTATATGACGAATTTTGACGAATTTGACACTTACTGGCAAAATGGTGGCTATAAAAAAATCTCGGACATAATTTTCGCAGAGTGACACATCTTTATAGTATCTAATCTTTGATAACAGCGAGCGAAAAGTGAAGCCGACAAAAAAATCACGACATAGGTATTCGTCATTGTCTTCGTCATCAACTGCCTCAACTGTTCAAGAACTTTCTTACAGTATTAAAAATCACTTACAAGATATAAGTTATTATACATATATTATTCCTTGTTTAATAATCCTAAACATGGTGAATACATCCCCATGAAAAACCAAGGATGGTGTTAAAGTAGTGGACACTCTATGATAATCCAATAAAACCTTGCAATACGATGAATTCAAATACACCTTGTATACTCTACTTATATTGTCATTTATGATTTTGGGGAATAGTATGAATAAACCGGGATATTCTATGCAGAATTCCCCTACCGGAATCTTTGCAAACTCCTATAAGTCAGGAATTTTCATAACACAATTCTCACTGCGCATGTGTATAATATCTACGTCCCACAAGCATTACAGCAACTTTGGTAGAATATATATCGGGGACGTGTTAAAATTCACTCAGTTGGTTAGAAGGAATATATGTGGAGTAGCCAGAAATATAAAACTAAAAATTGTAGGTGAATAAACGACAGCAGAACATCCTGAAATAAGCCAAAACTGTAGATAAACAAACGGCAGCGGTACAAAAATATGAAGTAAATCTAAATAAATTAACATGAATCTGAATAAATTAAAATACTTAAGAAATGATGACGTCATGGGCGGAGCAATGCGCTCCGCCCGCTCCGCCCGTCCCAGAACCCCTATTCTCTATACTACTCCTAGGTCCTATTTTATCGCTTAGAGTTATCGCTAAAGTTATCGCTAGAGTTATCGCTAGAGTTATTTGTTGAATTTAACGAGTCCGTTCTCTTGTAATCGTTCTCAGAATATTCTCTAATTGACGTACTGTCCTTTCCATTTGAAAAATTTCATACTGGCGGTTACGTGAATAGGTTGCTGAAGGCTTCCCTCTCCTTAGGAAGTTAATAAAATCAACAGCAAGTAAAGCTGTTCCTTTTGCGTTTAAATGCAATTTACTATACCATTGAGGCAGGATCCATTTATGTTTTTATGATCTATAAAAATATAATTATGTCTAATACACATTTCTTTAATTTCATTGTTAACATCTGCCATCTTAGCAGAAGATTCGATATCGTTTCTTATTGTAATACCCGAGATCCCAACCTCGGCATTTGGAAACTTATCATGCACCGTAGAGCATAATTTCTCTATTTTATTAAGTCGACAAGCATTCAATTGGTCAATTGGGAGATTGTTCGTCCCACAATGTATTATAACATGTGAAGGCGAAAAAGCTTGCATTATCTGATATGTTTCGAATTTCTGATTCTATTTCTTCTGCTGACTTTCCGGGGTAAGTAAACTTATCACTTTCTTACGTGACAGCTTCTGGAGGAGATAGTGTTCTTGAGTCCCCAATTAAAACCACACACCGGTTCGGGGCTTTGGGCACTCGAATAAGTGGAGTTATGATCGGCGCTTTTAACGGGAGGGTTGACTTGCCTACTTTGTTGATTATGCACAAGGCCGAAACTTCTGTATTACGGCTGGGGGGGGGGGTTTTGCCCGACCAATAGGGAGTGCCCGACGGACATTTCAGTCGCTGAAAAAAATTTCAAAAAAGTTTTTCCCGGACAAATCCCTCCCCCCCCCTCCCCTTGGACAACTTTTGGGGGGGAAATTTTTTCCGGACGAATACGTTTAATTCCTTTTTCCATACAAAATTTTGGTATTTGGTAATTTCCTAAATTTATCAAAATTTTCCCCACAACTATTACTTTTTGATAAATTATGTAAAATATTTTGATCAATTACATTTTTTTTGCCTGACAAGCGTGTCGTTGAAAATGTTAAACTTGCCCGACGAAACTACAATATTACAATATTGGGGGTGTAACACCCCATCCTCCCCCCCACTAGTTTCGGCCCTGATTATGCATTCTTGACTTGGCTTGCCCGCTTTGTTGATTATTGGTATTTTGATGCTGGTGATTTTCTTGTGAGTGCCGAGGTTCATTGTTATATGCTCTGCTGGAGATTACTCGGAATTACTATTCAAATGAGATTGATTTTGCAGGGAATGTAGCGTTTGTGTATTGTGAATTTGAAAGGTCTCGTGAATTTGAAAGGTCTCGTGAAAGTATTGTGAAAGTGAAAGTATTGTGCATTTTGTGAAGAAAGCACCATATTGACAGGATGTGTAGACTTTGACACAAGAGACTAATATCAGATATGAAGGCATCTGTGAAATTAGCGCTAATACTGTAATAGCCAAAAAATTGGAATTTCCGACATTTTATTATAAATTTTTATTGCTGCTCGAAATCTTAAACAAAAAACAGTACTTCACAAAAAAACGAGTTCTATCAAGGCATTTTTTAATACCATGGACTGGTGGGGCATTTGCCCCACTGGGCTCCTTCCTCTGCCCCACCACTGAAGAAATAAAAAGGCCTATTGCCCCAAAGCCAGGGCCCTATGACCTGTATTGAGTAAATGAGTTTAACATTGAAAAGAAATTTAAAAATATGTTGCGTTCGAATGCTTAGCATGCAATTTATTACAAATTTCACCATTATTAAAACTTTGTTTTGAGAAGCTGGGATTTTATTAAAATGTCTTCTCAGAATGCAGGAAATGCTGAGGGTCCTGAAGGGGGGGTCCCAATCCCATTTCCCACCTGAAATTTTGGCAAAATCCCAGTCCCAGTTGGATTTTTATTAGAAATCCCAGTCCAAGTTATTGAAATCCCAGTCAATAAAAAACCCTTTATTTATTGGTAGAATAAACAGTTTTAAGAACTTTTAAGCCACCGTGTGTGCAAGTGGCGGATACTTTATGAAACATCGGGGGGCTTGTGCCGAAGGCACAGAAAATTTTAAAATTTGAATCCCAGAAATGGCATTTGCAGCATTCTGAGACACGCATAATCAGAAAACCCAGAATTCCGGGCGCCAGAGTATGCCTGTTCGCAGGTAGTGCTGTGAATAATATAGTTAACAACAAAAATCATGACCAAAGACACCAAAAACGGATCAAAATTGTATTTTAAAATACTTAAAACGTAGAAAAATTGGGAATCGACTCGCATTACCTCAATCCCATTCCCATTTTTGAGGACTTCATTTCCCATTCCCAGTGGCCAAATCCCAGTCCCAGCAACCCAAATCCCATTTTCCCAGTGTAAAAATAGATCAATCCCAGTTCCCATTTTACCACTTCAGGGCCCTCAATGCTATTTCAGAGACACAAGTTTTAAAAATTTCCTGGGGGGCATGCCCCAGACCCCCTAGCTAACTCGTGCCTGCAGTACTCGGCTTACACCTTCGACAATCGCATGGGGGGAGGGCAAGGAAAATGGGCAATTTTTCCCCACCACTGAAGAATCCTTAAAATATGTACTGAGTTCTGTGGCTGAAAATTCGCGATCGGACCAAAAATGTCTATAGAACATTAATTAAAGCAGTTTTTTTTAATTTTCCTAATATTTCCTGGTTATACCCGCCGGAATTTTAAAATTTCTATCAGTAGTAGAATTTTATATTAAAATGTCAGAAATTCAAAATTTCTGATATTCATACTTGTGTCAAAGTCTACATACTGTCAATATGGTGCTTTCTTCACTAACTGCACAATTATTGCGAAATTGTGCGCTTACCCGCCCCACTAAAACTGAACAGCATGTCGCAAGTTGTGACTGTAATTGTTTAGCCTGCTCACAGACGCAATTGTCTGCAACTTTCTTCACTATCTGCACAATTATTGCAAAATTGTTTAGCCTGCTCACGGACGCTGTAGTTCTTACGCCAAGCGCGTAAGAACTACAACGTCTGTGAGCAGGCTACAAAATTGTTCTGTGTTGTTCAGAATAGAATGCAGCAATGTTGTGCTCCACCATGTGAACAACTGTTGTCAACTTAAAGTGCCTATGTCATGGTCAGCAAATTGATGTGTTTCGATTATTTAGGTTATTCTAAGAGTTTTTGTAATATATTTTATAATTCGAAAATTTCATCTTCATGGACTTTTTGGCGCCTCCTCCGCAGGCCTCTCTATGGGTTTTAGCCTATGAATCGCCCCCCGGATCATAAAGTTACAAGGGGACCCAGGGTACGAGGTTCGATCTTAAAGTTTGTCTCATTCAAAAGAACTCTTAAAATTATATATTAAACTCTATTACCGATTTGTTATATCTTGCTTAGTTCTCGAAATATTTAGACCGAAATTAATGAGCTTTCCGCCATCTTGGAAAAATTCTTTACCTCGTTAACTATGGTTTTGATGACGTCAGGAGTTGGGTTAACCATATAAAACTACTCTAAAATGATCGAATAACAATCCAAAATTGTTTGAAATGTTTTTAATCATTTCTAAATTTCTGACAGCAACCAGAAACGACATTTTGGACTTATATTGATCGCTTACTCTCAAGATAAAAACTTAGCGTGACCCCTCTCTTGACGTAACGTGCATATCCTCAATAATCCAAGATGGCGAACAGCTCACTTTTTTCAGTCGAAAGTTTTGAAAACTAAGCAAGATATAAACAATCTGTAATATAATTTAATATATAGTTTTAAGAGTTCTTTCAAATGAACTAAACTAATTTTTTATTGCCAAATGCCAATGTCCTTTAAGGTCTCTAATACTTCATGTTGAAACAATGTTTGGAAAATGTGGGCGAGGTGTTGTTGCATGCATGCATTTTTAGTACAAAAAATATATATTTAGTATAAAAGTGAATAAAGCCTTATACAGTGTGTATAAAAAAAGGTAATCGAACTTCAGCGCACTATTGCCATTGAATTACTCGGCGTATGAACAAATTTTTTTCATATTCGAAAGATCAGGCTTTTAGCTATTGAATAACATGTTTTTCATGCCAACTGGAGAAAAAATAATCAAGTACTAGTCCGATAAAAAATATTAGTAAGAATCACATATTTTCACCTCTGTGCCCATATAATTAAAGGAATAAAGCAGTGTATAACAAAACTCAAAAGAAAAAGCAATTAATCACCCACTTGTCATAGACTAGGTTTATTCCTACTTATGAATATATGCGTAGTTTATTGAGTGAAATTCATCAAAGGGGGTTAATAATTTCAATAGTTTTAGACCCATCTCTCCACGGTGAAAATATGCGATTCTGACTAACATTTCAGTTTATCGAATTCGAATTTGCTCATTTTTTATCTTTTTGGCATGAAGAACATATCATTCAACAGCTAAAAGCCTGATCTTTCCGAATATCGGAAAATTCTCGTTTATACGCAGAGTATTCAAATACAATAGCGCGCTGAAGTTCGATTACCTTTTTTATATACACACTTTATAAGTTCAGCTAGCGAGCCAAATGAATTATAACAAGACGCTCTGCGGAGCGTTAACTCGCTGGGCTAAACAAAGTCATACAAATATGCACATTACTAAGCGGAAAAGTTGAATACGGGCGCAATTTTAAAGGCTTAACACAGTGCTAAAATGCGGTAGGCCCTACAAGTAAAGTTATATTTAGTACGCTACATAGCCGCCACTAGTTGGTCCGTACGCTAGGCTGCTCACGGCGCTTTAAAACGTTCAAAATAAACTAATTTGGGGGCTTTTGGGGTCAAAATACTGTCAAAATGAAGAGAGAAGTAAGACGGATCCACTGTTATACGGCCGAAATAGAGAAAACCAATGATACCAAAATTATCAACAATACAATTTCGCTTGGCTTTCAAAGACAGCCATATAAATCGGTAGATTACTGTTGTTTAGTAATAATTTGACATCCGTATGAGCGATTTGTTAACAATACAATTTCGCTTGTCTTTCAAAGACAAAGACCATAAATCGCTAGAATACTATTGTTTAGTACAATTTCTTACCCTGAATCGAACGGTGATATTTTTATCGTTATTGCGCCATGAGGCATTACAAATACAAGGACAAAGGTAGTATGAGTGACTTGTCAACATTTATACAATTTGACCAATTTCGCTTGATTTTCAAAGGCCATAAATCGTTAGAATACTGTTGTTTAGTAATATATTTGACATCCGTGAGTAGAATTTCTTACGCTGAATCGAACGTTGTCGCTTTCTTCTCAAAATATATTAAAGCAGCGCAGCCAAACGTATAAACTTGCGATTTAATTTGCGAACTGCGAAGGTTGCTGTCATAGAATAAAGATCCATATAGAAGGGCCACTTACGTCGGAAGCTTTGAAGTTTCTGTCCTCGCGCATGTCGCATTACGCATGTTGGCCGCCATTTTCCTAGCCAGTCAATGACATTTTCTGGCCAATAAACACGCTGTACTGGCTGGCTGCTCCGCCTTCTGGCCAGTAAACTGCATATTTTTGCATAAAAAAACGAGGACACGTTGCACCCCTGAGTGGCCCTTCTATATGGATCTTTATTCTATGTTGCTGTTTTCGTGCGAAATTCCTTGTAAAATTGTTCAATTTTCCCAAATTTTCCTCAAAATGCAGGGTTATTTATGGATAATTTGGGTAAAATTGGCAGGAGTCTTATGAATAATTGGGGGGATAATTAGGCAGCTCATTAATATTCTATTTTGTGGCTATCGACGATTGGAGATTGCCGATCCAAGAACAGAGCCGAAACCTATACTCGTCTGGGGCACAGGTGCCCCAGCGAGTAATGAGCTGCCTCGCCTAGTTACGTTGATCATGCATGTATAATTACTTAACATCCATTATATATCTTATTATTATTTATAACTATTCTGCCTTTGGGCTGTTATAAATTGTTCATGAACTTATAAATTATTGGAATGTTTTGAATGATCTCAATGCATGGCCGGATACCAAGGTTGTAATTTAAGTTGTATAACAGAAGCTCTTCTGAGATTTCAAATAGATTGAAATGTGACAACAGTTCGACTTTGGGTGAGTATTGCTTGATACGTTTTAAAAATTAACTCTATATAAGTCTTAAAATTAATTACAACGCGTTAAGAATTTCCTTACAATCAATTTCATTAATTCGGTCGTTTGGAGCAGATGACACGTATAAACATTCCTGTTACAGCGTTGTCTTTTAATTTAAACATTAAAAGACAACATCATCATCATCATTATTTTTTGTCTTTTAACAAAATCTCATTAGGGCCATTTATACGGAACAAAATAAGTCGCGACTTATATAAGACGCGACTTAAATAAGCGGAGTTATCGCATAAATGGTTCTCTACGGCTTTGGTCTTATTTATTTGCTATAGCTATCATGTTGTTTTGGTTGTTTTTGTTTTAATATGCAAGGCTAATAATTTTACGTTGTTTCAAGTTTCTGGCATGTTTAGTCAGACTTTTTGCCCAAAATTACTTATTTAAGACGCGACTTAAATAAGAACAGCTAAAAGACCTGTTCTTATGTAAGACGCGTCTTATCCAAGACGCGTCTTACATAAGAATTTTGTACCTTTTATACGACAAACTCGCGTCTTACTTAAGTCGCGTCTTATGTAAGTCGCGTCTTATTTTGTTCCGTATAAATGGCCCTAATGTGCCTATGGATGAACTTGATCCTCATGCTTTAACTGTTTCATTACACTTGATCTTGGCATAACCAACTATCGCAGTTTTAATTTAAACAATCGGTCAAGTGCCTTATGTTCATATAAACTCAGTATAGTTGAAAATATATTATTAAGTAGTGTACCCACAGGGTGGTGAATGCTGCCTTGGTATAGCATGCATTGGTATTAGTAGTGTACCCAAATCTTTAATATTTTAAAGAACAAGGATAAGAAATATTTGTAATGAATTGGAATCATCCATAATTTGTACATCAACATTTTTAAAAACGTACCACAATAACAGGCACGTCTCACTAAATTTGCGTGTTTAATAATAATGTTTATCAAAGAAGGCAATAATATATAAAATAAAACAACCTCACATGTGAAATTTGTTCACTTACGCACTGCCTTGTGATGCAGCACAAGTATAAATTCAAATGACAAAGAATTTTTATCCTAAAACATAATTAATTAAGTTGATCACACGGCACAGCATTCAAGATTTTTGCTGCCGAGCGCAGCGCAGTGAGCTCCATATATATCTGGAGTAGGAACTTGGTTGCTCAAAGTGAAGCCAGTTTCGTGTTAACCGTGCATACAAAAACAATAGAAAGGGACTGGAACTGACGTCCAACAGCTCCTTCAATTTCCGCCATCTTGGCAAGGAGTGTGTTGAAATTTCGTATTTTGACTTCGATTTAAAGAATAATATTGTGATTTTATGAACTGAAAACTTGATTAGTGATATGGTCCATCAGAAAGTGATATGGTCCATCTGGAATTAGCTGGGGAAAATGGTATAAAAACTGTTTACGACCTTCAGAGCTATTGGACGTCAATGGCCGCCATCTTGGATTTTTTTGGCTTCACTTGGCCTATTGCCAAAACATCAGAAGTTCCTACTCCAGATATATATATATAGAGCTCACTGGCGCAGCGAGGCAGCACCACTGAGCTATAATATTACTGGAGGACGTGCTCGGCATAAAAAGTGTCGCCAAAAATATGGCGGATTTCAGCCTTTGCTGACGCCAGAATGACGCCATCTGGTTAATCTGGTTCCTTTTGCTCATACAATTACCACTGGACAAGGCTCAATTTTGAGCCAGCTACTGCGCTACAATTTCCACTCCTCCTGGTTTTTGAAAAAATATTTTGTTTTTGCAGTCGTAGATTTGGATTTTTGACATAATATTTGGACTTCGACTATTTTTTTTCAAAGATATGTGCAGTTTGTACAAGTTATCCTTGTTCGCTAAAGACAATAAACCTAGAGAAATATCGGCAAAGACGATATTTGAACCCTGTTGAGACGAGCTGACAGCCTGACGGGTAAATAATATTTCACAGTTCAGTGAGTTCACATTCTCGAGAACCTGAGTACTGTAAATATTATTGGTGGGATATTATTGTCTTATTGGTGGGATATGATTATATTTAAATATGATGCTTAATGCTTTATTTTAGCCAGGAGTATTTAAAGTTTTGGTTGTAGAAAATACGTCGACTTTATAATATAGTTTCATTTATTTTTATTAATTTTTTATCACGGCTGGTCAGGTGGCTCCCAGATTTTGGGTGCTGAAATAAATTGCTATTTAGGGAGGGTGGTTAAGAATGATTTGTTACGTATTGAAATTGTTACCTCCGCCAGGAAGTTATATAATCATCTGGGTTTGTATGTGTGTATGTACGTATGTGTGTATGTATGTATGTATGTATGTATGTATGTATGTATGTATGTATGTATGTGTGTATGTATGTACGTATGTGTGTATGTATGTATGTATGTACTGTACATGCTAAATAAATACCGGAAACATCTGCATATTGGACAAAAAAACCAATTAATGGCACTTGTTTACCAAGTGGAAAATACAGTAGACTATTATTACTTGAACAGAATATGAAAACTTGCAACAAACTAATCATATCACGTTAAAAGACATATGTTTGTTCTTCCTAATTGTGTTCTTCTGGACGTTTTGACAAGTGAAGACGGTTTAAAACATTGGTACCAACAATCACATGTGTAAATATGAAAATCCGAAGTACACTTTACAGTTTATAGTAATTATTGCATTATTAAACAAAATAAATTAATACATACAGTGTATCTATAAGGCAATATAAATAAATGAAGTTTTTTGGTATAATCAAACCCAGGACTTTGGGTCGTAAGGCAGCACATCCTTTGCGATAGTAACGTCTAGTTACGTCGTATTTCAGCCGCGTTTATACTGCTTGGCGCATTCGCTGCGTTATACATTTATATACACAGATTTATTACTAATAAATCAACACTATAATGTGTAATAATATAGAACTCACAAAGTGCAGTCAGCTTTTTCAATAAATAAACCTTTTTAAAGCATGACATTGTCATTTGCAGACCAGAGGCAAAAAGCACATCCACATACCAAATTTAAGCAATCGTGAAATCATATACATGGAAAGGATATGGAAATAATGTTGAAAGCACCGCGTATTATGGTGAAAGCACCGCGCGTATAATGCTCGAACCACCGCGTATAATGGTTGATAATAGAGACCTTACGATTTTAGAACGGCAACGCGACGGCAACGGCTACCAATACAATAGATCATTGAAAAGAATTGAGTAATTACAATATATGAATAATTTAGACATTGTCCTCGCTCTGTTAACAACGCCACATCACAGATTTTCACGTCTTGATACGACGGCTGCATTCCAAGCCACTGACAAGTGCAACTTCGAACTGGGTATAGCAGAACTCTTCCCAACCATAAAACCCATGTGTTCAACTTATAAAACTGTATTAGATTCATACGATTGATAATATACGACGAATTATCTTTACTACCATTTATTTGAAGGAGTTTGTTTTGGCCGTCGCGTTGCCGTCCTCAAATCGTAGGGTCTCTATAATGACGAAAGCACCGCGTATAATTGCCGAAAGCACCGCCATATAATGCATGTGACATTGTCCACGTCACAATACTACATACCTCTCTTCTTTTTAGTAAAGAACATCTATAATTAACCTGTGCCCATCCCATGTCTTATTGAAAGCAAATATTGAATGTACATATAGTATTTATATAGCTCAGTGCTAAATCTAAGGGCGCCCGGCCTGCCTGTTGCGGGCTGGTTGCAGGCTGACGATTTAGCACTGAACTATATAAATACTATATGTACATTCAATATTTGCTTTCAATAAGACGTGAACTATTTATAAAATTCCGGACTCCCTCTGTTCCGAGTGGGATATCTCGCGGGAGTCGTTCCATGTTTTAGGCTGATCATGAACATCATCAAAATCATGGATGCTTTGATCTTGCGGTTCCTCATTTGGCTTCGGAATTCATTTAAATGTTGAAACGTTTCTTGTAATCTTGCAGTTAATGTTATCTTCACTAGTTACATGTCTACGCCACAATACTACACTACCTTTGTAGTAGGACTTATAGGCTAAGTTAAACGCTTCGCTTGTCATTTAATTGCTGACCCTGGCCCATTGTTTCGGCTACTATTTTTATCAGGTTCCGCGCGTTCCTAGAAATTTCCAAAATCTATTAAACGTTTTATTTCATTTATTTGACAGTAGTAATAGGGCCATTAATCATTTATTTTGAAAATATCTAAAATACGTAATTCTTTGAGTAGGTTCTGTATGTTCCGAGTAAGATCTAAAAGTTATCAAACGCACAATTTTTTTATGAATATTCAATATTTTTTGAATTCGGGTTTTGTAGGTATTACCCCAAATCAAGTTGCCATAAATAAGATATGGATACACTATTATGTGTAATAAATTAGCTTCAGTGAATTTCTATTTATCAAGTGTCTTAGTTTTGCTATTATTCCCGAGGCACTTGTGATTTTCTTTGATACCTCAGTTATATGGTTATTCCAAGTCAAATACTCATCAATTGTTATACCAAGA